GTGCACTAGTTGGGTCTACTTGTAGACAAACCTCATCCCGACATACTTGCTTTCACTGAAACGTGCTTGTCCCCGGATATCGCGGACGGTGAGATTTGTTTACCTGGCTACGCGCTGCTTAGTACTGATCGCTCCGTTAATCGCCAAGGCGGAGGCGTCGTACTGTATGTGAGCTGTAACTTAGATGAGTTGAAGACCTGCACATTCCAGTCGTCAGATCAGAATGTTGAAGCCCTATCGGCCGCTTTGTGCACTTCCTCTACCCAGTCTACAGATATACTGATATACAGAGGTACTGGAAGTTCTTCCATGGGGATACTTGACTTTATTCGCACTAAGTCTGCGAATAAGTGTTCAGTTCTAGGTGATTTCGACCTCGCGGAAGTCTGTTGGGCCGATCTTTCTTGCAATTCGGCGTTAGAAACATTCATTACAGACTTTCTTGAACTGACACTCCAAGTATCTTTGCACCAGTTCGTGGCCTTTCCCATTAGGTATATAAATAGCCAAATACCATCTACTTTAGATTTGGTGTTTGCTAAGTCCCTCGACTTCCTGACTGACGTTTCATACGGTGCATCTCTATGGTCCAGCGATCAAGTATGCATCTCCTTTCGATGTGCTATTTCAAGGCACCAAGAGACCGCTGTTGAATTACTTCCGAATATTTGGCGGGCGGACTTTAGTGCAATGCGAGCTAAGGCTTCATTTCTGAACTGTGAGGTATCGATGGCTGACTCTGTCCAGTTAGCCTGGGAAAAATTTAAGGCATACCTTACGGAGGTTTCCACTCCCTATATTCCACGCATGAGGAAAAGAGGGTTAAGGGCACAGCCTCCATGGATTGATACCACAGGCAAGTACCTACTCAAGAAACGGTCTAGATGCTGGCGAACTTACCAAGCAGCTCCTTCAGCCAGTACCTATGATAGTTATCGAGAGGTTAGAAATAACATTAAGCAACCTCTCAGAACTTGTTGCCTCAAGTACGAGCAGGGTTTAGCGGACTCGGCCGCAGCTAATCCAAATAAGTATTTTGCGTACGTTAAAAGACGCAGCGGGGTAAAACTGTCTATACCAGCGTTATTGCAAGCAGACGGGACCCGTGCGCAAACAGACTATGAAAAGGCTTGTATACTTAGTGATCAGCATACTGGAGTCTTTGCTCAGGCGACCTCTTTACCACAGGTTGAATTGGTTTCAAGAGTTCCAGAGGATTCTTGCTTAGCTGAGTTTAGCATAGCAGAGACTCAGGTCTTCCAGCTACTGCAACGCAGTAATCCCTCTAAAGCTCCCGCTCCTGATTCATTTCATCCGATGCAGTTGCATGATTTGGCCACTGAGCTGAGTTGTCCCCTCACATGCATGTTTTCAATATCGCTTGACAGCTGCATCCTACCTTCGGAATGGAATAGGAAATCCTCTGTCCGATTTTTAAGGGCGGTGAAAGCGCTGTGTCCGAAATCTACCGGCCTGTCAGTTTGACAAGCCTAGTAGCCAAGTTGTTTGAAAAGCTCATAAGGGATTCAGTGAAGAATCACCTGAATCGATTCAACCTTCTCTGTTTTGCGGAACATGGATTCCGCAAGAGGTTTTCATGTCAGGCTAATCTAGTTGTAGCTCGTGAAAGCTGGCCCGAAGCGGAAGACCGTGGCCACGCTGTAGACGTGCTATTCGTGGACTTTCCGAAAGCTTTTGACACTGATCTACGTCATCGGCTCTCACGAAAGTTGAGATCTCACGGGATATCTGGTCGCGCCTTTCAATGGGTGTCTGCCTTCCTTCACGGGAGGGAACAGTGCGTACGGGTGGGGCGTAGCCTTTTGCTCAGGCAAGCTGTCCTTAGTGGTGTTCCGCTGGGCACGGTATTGGGGGCCGTTTTGTGCGCAATATCCGTAAACTGCTTACCGGAAGAGCTAGGAGTGTCACCACTAAGGTTTGCTGACGACCTTAAGCTCCGGAATACTGTGGATATCCCGGGGGTCCTGAGGCAATTCGGTATGCCTTAGATAGGCTCTGGGAATGGTCTACCTTATGGTTTATGCCCATACATATGGCCAAATGCTCTGTTCTCCGAATCGGAGCTGCTAATCCTTCCACCCGATATGTTGTCGGCGGTGGTGACCTCCATGTTGTCACTCAGCAAGTTGAGTTAGGAATCGTACACGCATCAGCACTTCATTCTGGAGAAAACTGGAAGTAGACTGCTTGTCGAGGTTTTCGTATGATGTGGTTTATCTGCCGCTCTTTCGGAATCTTAACGGCCAATTTGTTTGTGAAGCTATTCTCGGCAGTCGTCCGACCCCACCTGGAATATTGTATTCAGTCTTGCCCACCATGTCTTAACCGAGATGAAATGAACTTGGAGAGGGTGTTACGAGTGGGCACTCGGCTAGTGCAGGATTTACGGGGACAGACGTATCCTGAACGCTTGCTCAGTTTGGGTATGTACTCCATGCACTACCGAAGGATAAGAGGGGACCTGATTCTCACGTATCGTATTTTGACGAGTAAGATTGCCCCGGACTTATCAGGGCTGTTTAGTCCACGTACGTTAACTAATCTCCGCGGTCACCCACTGAAACTGCATAAACCAGGGTCTGGTAGGATTAGGATGGAAACTCATCTGTCGCGCTGAGTTATAGATCGCTGGAATTCGCTTCCAGATCACGTGGTTAGGGGACTTACCGTTAAGGGTTTTGCGCGCAATCTCGATACTCTTGGGTGCCAACAGCCAACTTGTCCTTTTTCCAAACTGACTCACCTTCACTTTTCAGTTCTTTTTTATTGACTCAAATATATTGGTATTCCACTTGCTTAGCTCTTTCCACTTTCTCTTTTGCCTTCTGAGTTTACCTTTTTTCTTTCTTACTTCACTTATCCGGCCCTTCAAGGACTGCTACGGCAGGATAAGTGGGCATAATTTTGGTTAGACAGGGTGTGATGCGGTCTTTGTTTTAGGTCCATCAGTGTTTCTAAGTTCGCCAACTCCTGTTTTAACGACCCGCCAAAGTAGGAACACTCACGGGATCATCAAATCGTTTCGGTCCCGCTTGAACTTGAAACTTTACTGGGTAGCGCTGTTTTCGATTAATCCCATTGTAACGAAATCGAAACCACCATCAGTCGTTTTCAAGACTACTTAATGATCTCTTTCTTTTCCCCTCCATTTGCAGATTCGAGAGAAATCACAGATATGTGAAAACGTGCGAAGCCACTTTACCGACCCGAACCCTTTGACATTCCCTTTTTGTTTTGATATCCAGTGCCCAACATGGTTGTCGCAAATCTCGCTCTTGCTCTACTAACTTGCTTATGGCTAGAGAAAAATTGACAAATTGATGGGATATTGGCAAACAAATGGATGTTGTGTTCGTGGACTTCAGTAAAGCATTTAATAAGGTCCCTCATGAACAGATTCTCTACAAACTCCGAGGAATCGGTGTCACTGGAAACTTTCTCTCCTGGATTTCCGATTTCATGCACACTCGTTCCATGCTGGTGAGAGTGAACGAAACGTATTCCGATACTGTGCATATGCTCAGCGGTGTTCCACAGGGCTCCGTCCTCGGCCCCCCAACTCTTCAATAGCTTCCTCAACGATCTGCCGTCTGAGCTACAACCGGATTGCTTGATTTATACGGCTGCTCTAAAGATATGGAAGGATGTATCCTCTCTAGAGGATGCTGATCGACTAAAAGTGACGCTCGATCTCCTGCACACTTGGTCGATACAGTGGCGCTTACCCATTAATCAAGACAAATATTCCGTCCTGCCTATCGGCGCTCCTGAACCATTCGGCGCTTACCACATAAGTGGTTTCTTGCTCAAAAATGCCACTTCCGAGAGGGCTCTAAGCGTGATTGTTTCCCCCGACTTAAGATCCACTCAGGACACTATGAAGAGGGTTGCCGCTGCCTACAGGATGTTTCATGCCATCCGAAGCGATTTCAGTCGCTTGACATCGGAATATTTTGGACTTCTGTTCACCTCGCATGTGCGCCCGATTCTGGAATACGGCCTCCCTGCTGCCTACCTGCTTTCCAAATTTGAGCGCGAAATGATCGTAAAGGTCCAACGGTGTGGATCGAAGTTTATCTCCTAGTTACGTGACCTGCCGTATCCCCTTCGGCTTCGACATTTGAATATGTTTTTTATAGATTACCGTCGCCGGCGTGGGGACCGGATTTTTACCCGTCGTATCCTCAGGGGAGAACTAGGGAGAGAGTTGCAGGAATTCTTCGACCTCAACATCGGGAGTTCGACTGGAGGCCAGCAATGGAAAATACTCAAACCGCGGAGGATCCAATTACGGCCCATTTTTGCTCTGTCCACTCGCGTTCTGAATAATTGGAACCGGTTACCGCCGTCCGTTGTTGATGCACAGACGGAGGATTGTTTCAAACGACTACTTGATTCACACCTGTTGAGTATACCGGGATCGTGTTGCTGCAGCTACGTGTGCGATGGCCTCTCCGGAGTTAACGTTGCGCAATAACGAGCCTCCCAGCAAGGATCGGGATGCGATGGAGCTGACAAGGGATTTCCCCTCCTGCTCTCTACTACCCCAATGAACCCAAAAATGTCCTGTACACGTCTGTTTTTCCTGTTGTGGATAAACGTGCTTGCCCCGTGTCTGCTCGTTTTGCTCGTGTCACGGTTGCGTATTGCGATTCTGTGAGTGCCCGGTGGCTGCGTGTGCTTCTCGCGTCGTGTGTCCGCTGTGCTTGACTCCGTACTGCTTTCTACCGCCGTTGATTCGTTCCGTGCCCGTTTTCTAGCTCCCGCCGATACCTTACTCCAGGAACTTCTTTACATTTGGTGTCAGAGGTGGGATCGTAATGGAGAATGAAAACGTCAGCCCCCCAAAAGTGAAATCTCAACTTCGTGTTGTTGCCCAGGATTGTTCGGAGTTTCGACCAGTGCCTAGGCAACCCCCAGTTTTTCGGCCAGGTGTTGATTTCGACAGTTGGGAGTTCCACTTATCGTTATACCTCCCAATGTCCCTGAAAAGAACGTGGGGCCTTATGTTCGCAGTTTTTTGTGTGAGGAAGCCACGCGTCTCTTCCGCGCGACTGGGATTCCTCCAACGTCTCCAGCGTCAGAGATATGGGAATCGCTGTGCGGGCTGTTCCGGAAACAGGAAGCCGCGGTTATATATAGACAAAAGTTTGCTGCTCGTACACAACAGCAAGAAGAATCGATCGAAGCGTTCGCACGCACTCTTCAGGAGCTTTCCTTGAGAGCCTTTCCCGATCTCTCCAATGCCGAACGGGATAAGTGGTTGGCTGAGCGGTTTTGCACGGGGTTCTTACGACAGTTCCTTACGTCACCAACTTGCCGGGACGCTACCCTGCAGTTTCACTGATGCAATGAACAAGGCGCAGTTTCATGAGTCCCTGGATTTGCTGGACGATCGCAAGGAGTATGGCCAGGCCACCTTGTGTTCGGCTCGGAAAAATGTGTCCATTGCCAACAGCAGACCATCTAACCTCAACTTCAATCCGTCCAGGCGAGATTTTTGGTACTGCCGCCGCTTTGGAAATCGTGCGCAATTCTGCGGACATAACCCACCTATCAAGCCGCGACGTTTGAAAGGTAGGTCACGTCTCAATCCATCCGGCCTTCTTGTATCCACTTTTGTTCGTAATGCTTCGTTTCAACCTTTAACCACCGTTGGCAGCCTCGATGGTTTTGATATCCAGTTCTTGCTTGACACCGGTGCGTCATGTTCGCTGTTGCGTCTAGAGATAGCCGACCGCCTCGGGGGTCGCCACGCCACTACCCAGGGAAAGCCACTAGTGTTAACAGCCAACGGGGCTGAGTTGCCCGTCGAATTTGCAGTGCTAGCTCAAGTTCAACTGGAACATGTTACCGCAGTACACGAGTTTCTGGTTTGTCGACACCTAAGTTGGGACGCCATCCTAGGGATGGATTTTTTGGCTAAGCATGGAAGTTTGCTGCAGCTTGGTAATGGACACATTTTTCAGAGCCGAACACAAGGTGGCCTGGCCATACTCCTTGCGATCGTCCAGCAAATCCAGGGACTCATGAAACTGCGCCTTGTTCATTGCATCAGTGAAACTGCAGGGTAGCGTCCCGGCAAGTTGGTGACGTAAGGACCTGTCGTGCAACTCGGTGTAAAACCGCTCAGCCAACCACTTATCCCGTTCGGCATTGGAGAGATCGGGAAAGGCTCTCAAGGAAAGCTCCTGAGAGTGCGTGCGAACGCTTCGACCGATTCTTCTTGCTGTTGTGTACGAGCAGCAAACTTTTGTCTATATATAACCGCGGCTTCCTGTTTCCGGAACAGCCCGCACAGCGATTCCCATATCTCTGACGCTGGAGACGTTGGAGGAATCCCAGTCGCGCGGAAGAGACGCGTGGCTTCCTCACACAAAAAACTGCGAACATAAGGCCCCACGTTCTTTTCAGGGACATTGGAGAGGTATAACGATACGTGGAACTCCCAGTTGTCTAAACCATCGGGTACGGAAATGCGATCCCGTTCGAAAGAAGGACGCTCACTATGGGACCACTGGAGCCGATTATGAACCATTGGTGTTACGCTGTTCCTCATGGATGGCCTGGGCCCGAAAGTGATTACTCCTATGTCGAGAGTGCTGGGCGTACTACAAGCAATCCATCAGCAGTTAGGTCACGCTGGCCAACTAAAGACGGAGACGGCCATACATCAACGGTTCTGGTGGCCAGGAATCCACGCCGACGTCGTGAAGCGATGTAACGCCTGCGAGATCTGCGCCGCTATCAAATCGAAGATACCCCTATTCCGGGCCCCGTTGGAACCGATAGTGGCCACGTCCCCAGGTCAGCGAGTCGGAGTCGATCTAATGGGGCGTTTGCCAGTCACAAGGAACGGGAACCGTTACCTCCTTGTTCTTATAGATTATTTTACAAAATGGCGCGAGGCCATACCTATCGAAAATCCGGATGCGGCAACGGTTGCGACAGCCATCGTAAATGAGTGGATTGCCTGCTATGGAGCACCGCTGTCACTGCATTCAGACCAAGGCGCCGTCTTCGAGAGTCACCTGCTTCAGGAAGTGTGTCGACTGCTCTCGGTGAGGAAGACACGCACCACATCGTATCATCCACAAGGGAATGGATTAGTAGAGCGCACCAACCGAATCATAAAAGGGATTTTGCAGAGCTTCCTGGAGCGGCACCAGTCAGATCGATGGGACGAAGCGATTCCACAATGCATGATGGCGTATCGATCGTCTTTGCATGCAACCATGGGGTATTCTCCAGCCTTCCTGACGTTTGGTCACGAGCTTCGTTTGCCTCTTGAGCTGATATCCCCTATTCCCCCAACCGAGGCTTGTTCCCTCTTAGACTACGTACGACAGCTTGGCGAACGTCTTCGATCAGCCTTTCTGTGTGCGGGAGAACACGCAAGGATAGCACAGCATCGTCAGAACGTATGTTATGATCGGCACAGTAGGGGTCCTGAATATCACATTGGAGATCGCGTATGGTTACACCGACCAAGACCTCCGACTGGCGCAGCAGCGAAGTTTCAGCGACAGTGGCAGGGGCCGTACGAGATTGTGTTCGTCCGTTCACCCACGGCGTATGTTGTCCGAGATGTCGCGCAACCAAATTCCGACGTTCTGACCGTGCATTACCATCAGCTGAAACCAACGGGATCTTCAGCCTCTACTCCGAAGGAGGAAGTCGTTCCACCCGGATGCCCCCCGATCGTAGAACAAACTGTGGAGATACCCCCCGAAGGCGGCTCGGCGAGTATTCAGGGCACCGAGACACTGAGGACAGTGTCTTCGCCGGAAGGGGGAGTGGTGTAACGAAATCGAAACCGCCATGAGTCGTTTTAAAGACTACTTATATGATCCCTTTCATTTGCAGATTCGCGAGAAACCACAGATATGTGAAAACGTGCGAATCCACTTTACCGACCCAAGCTCTTTAACATTCCCTTTTTGTTTTGATTGTCTTCTCAAGGTCCTGTACACGTCTGTTTTTCCTGTTGTGGATAAACGTGCTTGCCCCGTGTCTGCTCGTTTTGCTCGTGTCACAGTTGCGTATTGCGATTCTGTGAATGCCCGGTGGCTTCGTGTGCTTCTCGCGTCGTGTGTCCGCTGTGATTGACTCCGCGCTGCTTTCTTCCTCCGTTGATTCGTACCGTACCCGTTTTCTAGCTCCCGCCGATGCCCCACTCCAGGTACTTTGTTACACCATTTTCTCCGGAGAGCTGTTCAGGTCTGTTGCTGCGGCAAAGTATGACAGTATGGAAGACCTGTAGAGTCAGTTAGAAAGTTTTTAAAAGAAACTGCGAGTTGTTTCCTCCGAGTTAAATTGGTTTCCGCCGTAGCTTACCGGCGAACTCTGACGATGGTTGTCAAGCACTGCTTAAACTCGCCGTGTCCGCCTTCTGACGACTCTGTGGTCATGCGTGGTAAAGAGGGTTGTCTAGAAGCGGTAACGGATTCGTCCGGGGGCATGCAGTGCGATATCTGTAACCGTTGATTCAGCGCTCGTTGGGTACAACGCTATTTTCTACGTATATGTATATAGGTTAATAAGGCGTGCATTTATGTATACATAATTCTGTCTGAAAGGGAATGCATATACCTAATTACAAATTTATGCATTCCTAATTTTGTCACTTTAACGTGATTAAAAATGGTATTGCTCCTCCAATATATCCATGCTTATATTGTTATGTAGAAATACATTTGTACGCGTGTCACGGTAACACTGATCATCAGTTCTATGCCATTTAAGGGGATGGCACGTTATTAGCCCCCGCTATGATTACCAAATGCAAATCCCCGCAACTGGACGTCAGTGAACCGACGTATACATTCTTTTCATTACAGAGATATAGCTGACCTTATCTGTACGTAGCTGAGTAAATAATTAAGTACGTGGCTGTCAGTTTACCTGGAGTTTAACCGGGATCTGTTATGGTGCATATCAAGGTGTCAGGAGTAAAGTAAGTAGGTTACGCATTTTATTAGTAAGCTAATACCGTTTTATGAATAATACTAAGGGAAATTTATCACACCCAGTATATGCGGAAGTTATAGGAAGCATAGGGAATAATAAAATGTCAAAACGAGGAAGGACAGAAGTCAATGAACGTTTTTGCGATGTTTTCATACAAGTAGCCCACATATATACGCAAGACTATAGGTAGGTTTAGGTTCCTGCGAACGTGACGGGTAAATAGTAAGTCCATGTGATTGCCTCACGGGTGGCATTTGTTTGTTCACTGAACCGCCCTCCAGTGTTGGCCGCGATTGTTTGAACGAGCGATGCATGGAAAAGTATCATGTGTTCTATATCAGCCGTGTCATAAAATCATTAAACAGGTAGCTATTTTTGACTTCACTGCGGTAAAGGAACGGCGCTCAGTAAGCCTATGTATGTTCCACAGGGAAGCCTGATTATGGCCTACAGTGACAGTTAGGTTATCGGCGCCAGGAACCTACATGAACGGCCTTCATTTATGCTAATTGGGTTCCATGATATTTGCATCCATATGGGCTCTATAGAAGCCTCATATACTCGCTGCACATGTCTTGAGGGCTTCTTATTAGTAATGCTATATTGGTCGCAGAGCATTGGTGTCGTTATCGGACCCAGCATAATCGCCGTCGTTGGAACCATAGTCCTTAAATACGGGCGGTTACTAATACCATAATGGCCCAGCAGCGGCGGTATAGTAAGCACTGCTAACGAATGAAAAGAGAATGCATCTGCACGCCCACATGAATGATTTTAACTGTTCCCAGCGCAGCTGCATCAATTCTGCCACTATGGAATTAGCTATGACTGGTCTCAGGCGTACTTGACTGACAGTACATATGTTTACGCAGGTCACGTTGGTGGCAGCATAATCGGCACGGGAGAGGACTGCGCTATAAGCGGAGCGCGCCTCCATAACCAGTAGTTATGAAATGCATATAGGTCGCATAGAAGGCATTATTGTTGCTAGGAGGGAAGTCACATTGGAAACTTTAGGCATTGCGGCAAAAAGTACGTAAGTAATGGGCTTTGTTAACGCTACTGATACAACTGGAATGCAGTCACCAGGCTTTTTATTTGTTTCCGTCATTGTATGCAACTGCGTTGAATGCATTATGCTGAGTAATCGTGACAATATGGAAATGGCAACGAAAAAGAGACACAAATGGAGCGCTGACGTCTGTACCGATTCCGAATACTCACGTCATCATGGGAAGCGCGTTAGGCGCTCTTGACCCACAACGCGCGAACACTGAGGAATGGTAAATGGAAATTTATTCCGTAGGCACACATGAAAGCAATATGCATAGATGTAACGCGGGGTTGACTTACTCAATCACATGGAAGCGATGTAGCGCACCTCCCGATAGTGGAGTGTATGGTTCACGTCATCAATGTCTTAGACAAAATTACCAGGAAATAAAAAATAACGTAGTTCGGTGGTAAACGTTTGATAATTTTTCATTGCGATGCCACCCATCAACAGGAGAAGAGGGTACATACGGGCCACTGACCCATCGAAGGTACAAATTCCACCATTGATAAACTTTTGGTCTGGCATTGTCACCTACCTTGTCTAGAAGTTGATTTCGGAAATAGTATAGTGACCATTGCTGCCACGTCGGAACCACAGTAATGCAGTGGTTTGCGGACAGGCGGATGAGATAAATCACACCAGCGGCCGCAGACTGCAAACGAAACTGATAGCGGTAAACAACGCGCTTACCGGCTGCTGTGAGAATGCACTGCACACCTCTTGTATCGTTGGTCAAGGTTAATATGTAATGCCAGACGTCAATAAAAATGAAGTTTGGTCTACGTTTGCAGTGTTCAGTCACTGCAGCGTAGGTGAAGGTAACTTACCGGTTAATGATGCATCGGTTATCTCCTGTTCAGTTTTTGCTTTTCAAATGTGTTTAGTAAAGACCAATGCATGGCGCTATGAGTGATAAGTCGGAACTAACAAGTTTGTTAGTAAAGCGGAAAAGCGGGACTGTAGCTGCTACGCTGTCTGAAAATCCAGAGATAGGTTACGACAGCACTTGCGCACAGTATCCAAGTGGACTGTCCAGTACGTTGTTCGGTGGACGATTACGGATCCACCTAATGCACCTATGTCCTAGTGCCCCAACCGTTGAAAGCCGCTTCCGGTTTATAGATGGTGCTTGCAGAGGGGAAACGCAAGGCTACAGCACAGATGGTGGACCTGAGAAGGGCCGTGAGGTCGTTCACGCAGACATGGATAATGGCACCCAGTTAGATTTCGGGAATTCACGTGCAATAGATACTTACTATCGGGAAGCCGCGGGAACTCATACCACATAGCGATCTCATAAGTGACAAGTGCTATGAAATCAGAGTATATACATTGAAGTCGCTTGCCTGTGTAAAGCGTAGGCTGCAGTGTTACCGAAGACGCTGGGTACGGCAGCGGCATTTAACGGATCCGAGAATTGTTACAGTTGCTGTTGATAGGTAAGTGAATGAAAGAAACACAATTACGCGTTATCATGATGACAGACGTTACGGCTGGCGGCGATGTCGTCGGAGGATGCTACACAACAGGGCGACGTGGTGAGTAGATTAAGTCGGCTGAAAGCAGAGTGTATGCATTTAAGGCACCTGCCTGTGAAAATCTGTGGCCTCAGTGTGACTGCGGACGCTGGGTAAGGCTGCTGCACGCGTTGAAACTGGGCATCGTTACCATTTCTGTGTTGTCATGCTGCGGTAGGTTACGGCTGGGGTTGATGTCGCCGGAGCAGCCTATGCAACACGGCGGCATGAGGGAGTATGTTGCGAGTGTGAGCTTGACGTAATAGCCTACTGCTCCAGCCTCCTACATTTCTTGGGCCGTGGTAAACCAGGCTTCCTTGTCAGCACGTACGCTGTTTTACTTCCCGCCTAATAGGCCGACGGGTCACTTTGTGCTCATATCCAGCCTGGAGGTTTCTTCTACATTCCAACAGGTCCACAGACATCTCGGATATAGTGTCTGGTGCCGTGACGGTTGAAAATGCCAAAATCGGCCTCCATCGGAAGCCGAGGTCCGAAACGCGATCACAGCCCTCATTGGTTTTCGGGCCGTTTGCCCGGATTCCCTCCCACCTGCATTATTTAAGGATGGAGGTGAGGTCCTCTGCAAGGCACTGACCTCCCTATTCGAACGTATCTGGAACGAAGAGTGTGCCAGCTAATTGGAGCGAATCGATTATAGTGGCAATACACAAGAAGGGCAGTCGCACAGACTGTGCGAACCACAGGGGTATTAGCCTAACGCCAATTGTGACAAAATAACTGGCCTCGATTATCGAACGGGAATCTCGGATTAGGGAAGAGCAGGCCGGCTTTTGCCCAGGACATGGCTGTATAGACTATATATTCACTTTGCGGCAGGTGCTAGAGCAGCGCCACGCATACCGAAAACCGACAATAGCTGTGTTCCTCGATTTCAAGTGTGCGTTCGATTCGGTCGATCGATCGATTCTATTCGAATTACTTGCGCAGAAAGGTGTTCCCACGAAATCTGTGAACATCCTTCGTGCTCTATACTCGAATACTACAGGCCGCGTCAGGGTCTATGGTGTCCTATCGGATAGCTTTTCGACTACAAGTGGCGTTCGTCAGGGTTGTCCGATTTCCCCGTTTTTGTTCAATTTCGTCGTGGATTCTATCATGAAGTGTTTCCTTGCGGAATCTCACGATGTAGGCGTTGAAGTGCTGCCTGGTGAAAAGTTAGTTGATCTAGATTATGCGGACGATATCGTCTTGCTTTTCGACGATGTTGTGGGGGCACAATCAACCCTGAATA